TACACTGGAATGGTTTGTGCGTGCAGATGGGTATTAATGTTCTACCCGTCGGCTTCACAAGACTCATGCGCCAGCCGACGTCGCCACATGCCGGGGAACCCAGACTGCTCCGAGTGACTCTAAAAGATGATAAGGACTTGGAGGACGTTCTTCTTTCTACCTTCTCAGAAAGAGTTCCTGCCTAATAAGAATCTTCCCTGATAGGCCATGGACGTCACGAATGCACCAACAGTACGATCCAATGAGAGCACAAGTGGAGGAAAATAAGAGGGTCGTCCTTCTTCATGGTGCCCCGCAGTTGGACGATCCGGATGAACCAATAGGTCATCACAACGACCGAAAGGAATGGCGATTCATTCAAAATCTACCTGAGTGTAGCGACTTTTTGACAACTTCAATCAGTCGTCTTCCCTGTTCACCATACTACCGTGGTAACGGTCCGAGGATAATGAAAATTATCCTTGGAACTCCAGAAGTGGACAACACGGTCTTACAGTTATGCCGGGAAAGAAAGAATAGAGGGCCTCTAGAACTACGTGTGAGACCCCTACTCAATCCCGGGCTCAAAGCACACCCAAATCTGGAGAACCCTTCTGATGCATCAGATCACACCATGCAGATACCAAACTCCACCGCGCAACCCGTGGTCCAAAGCACCAGAGCTCCTCTGCTAAAAAACTTAAGGTAGCCGACCGAGATACCACTTCCTACCCAAGCGGATTTCTACACCGACAGTATCTATACTGTTTCTACTGTAATACTCAAGGACTCGTCGTCAAATTTCCAGAGTTGAAGTTACGTTTTATTTCTAGTCAACGGGTTATTATTGCTGTTAAGGAGACTTGGCTCACAGCTGATATTTCGGACTCCGAATTGTCTTTATCGGAGATATCTCTACTCAGAAGCGATCGTCCTATCCGTGGTGCAGTCTATCGTCTCCCATCATCCCCGTAGACGCTTTTACTAACTATGCCACACATACTTACACAAAAATTCACCCATGTTCTCCTTATGGGTGATTTCAACTGCCCCAATCTCAATAAATCAGCGACCGTCCGTCCATTTTTCGAACATCATTTCAAACGGCTGATTGACTCGTATCCAGTATACAACCATGTGAAGGTGGCAACTAGGTTTGGCAACCTTCAATCACCGTCCATACTGGATTTAGTGTTGACCAATGAGGAGCTCATGGTAGAGTCTGTCAATGTGACTTCTCCCCTAGGACGTAGCGATCATGCAGTACTTACATTCAAATACGTCGGTTACGCATCGATTAAGGGACGTTCCTCTGGTAACACGTGCAGATCTATAGACTACACACTGTTGAATAACTTGGCGCTCTCTGCTCAGTGGGTTTCTCATGACGTAGAAGCTAATCCGTTGGTCACATGGAGGAAATTTATTGACAATCTCACAAATATATTATATTAAAATCCGTGACTAAAACTAGAGAAATCACCAAATCCGGCATCCGAGATTCACCTATTCCAAGACGCCCAAGGAAATGGCTATCAGCGAGGGATTTAGCCTGGCGAGATTATATTCATCTTTCGAATGCTATCACATGGAATAATTACCGTCTGCTGAGGAACCATTGCACCAGGCTGATTCGTGAGGATAAAGTGAAATATCAAGAGGTGCTAGAACAAAACTTCATTTCTAACCCTAAGCTGTTGTACCAAAACGTCAACTCCATTCCGAAAGTAAAGTTTGGTATACCGGTACTACGTAGCGCTGGAAGAGTTGCAGCCACTCCAGTGGAAGCAGCGGAAATGCTGAAAAATCATTAGTCCAAAGTATTCGCAGCACCGCAGGTTGAATGTTTACAACTACCCCAACGGTTGCATCATCTTCCACATCATTCACCCACCTACGTATCTTTTACTGCTGAAAACGTCAAAACAAAACTAATGACTTTGCGAAAAAATGCAACTCCAGGTGCGGACAACATACACCCGAATTCTCTGATCTTTTTGGCAAATCACATATCCGAACCGCTAGCTATTCTGTTTCAACGCATGTTCGACCAAGCAAAACTCCCCGACTCGTGGAAACAAGGAGTCATTTCTCCCATATACAAAGGTGGTTGTCGTAGTGACCCCGCTAACTATAGACCCGTAACCCTGCTGCCGGTGTTATCGAAGGTCATGGAGTCAATTGTGGCGGATTCTCTGATGGAACATCTCGAAAGATACAGTATTCTTCAACAGCTCAACACAGGTTTAGGCAAAAGCGATCCTGCACCACGAACCTGCTTTTCGTTCGAGATGAATGAACCAGTACAGTTGACGAAGGGGATACGGTGGATGTTATTTATCTCGACTTCGCGAAAGCATTTGATCGACTGAATCACAAAATTCTACTGCGCGAGCTTGTAAGCTATCCCCATAATAAAACTTTGACTTTGACCGGTGAATTCGCGTCAAAATCCCTATGATTACCGCAGGATGACCATAACTGTACGCCACACTTTTGGGAAATTTCACTCCACAAACACCTCAAGCAGACGAAGCATGAAGTTTACAAAACGATAAGTTAGAGTAAGAGACCCTCGTCTTCCGGGCTGGGTTGAAGACTATGAAACTGGTCGGTTCATCCTCATCATCAACGTACAGCGAGATACAGTGAAGCGAACTTCGCTCATCGCAGCCAAGCTTACAATGTACACAAATCAAGTGATAAAGCACAAGATAGAGAGGGACTGGGTTTGATTGGAGGAAGGTAAAGAAAAAGAACCCTTATGGTCAACAACAGAGTACACAATCTAAGTGTGCATACATGCTCTTTTCAAGCATTCTGACCTGATAAGAAATGACAACAAGAACGCCACTGCTGTCGTTTAGTCGCCATATCCTTCAGTGTCTCGAACCAACCAG